TGTCCCTCTTGCAGCCCCCTCCACGCTGTCTTTTCCACTAAGCCCAGGTGGAAACTCTCTCTGCTCCACTTTAGAAGGGAAAACTGGGTCTGGAAGGCAGAGCTATACCTGGCTTCCCCTGCAGATCATAGCGCCCTCTGCACCTGTCTGCTTTGAGAGACATAACAAAACCTCAGGCAGATCTCACATGGTGCCCTCCGCACCTTGTGGCCCTTGTCGGCAAAGACCTGGCACAGTCATCACAAGTGTGGGGCCCTTTAACTGATTCTGGAGCTACGTGACAGACCTGAAGTTGCAGAGGAGGGCTGCCTGGCTGCTTAAAGGGGCTTGTGTGACCTAAGAAAGCAGAGAGCTACATTTATGTTTAACACCTGTAAGGGGTGAGAAACTGGAGTACCTGAGAAGAGGCTGAACGCATGAGTCGTGAGAGACCTGGGGTACACAAGGGACCAAGGGGGAGAAGGGGGTGCAGATCCCTACAAAAACCCAGGCAAAAATGAGGCCTGGGGGGTCTCCTGCTTATCACCTAGGAAGACCTGAGGATCTCCCGAGAGACTTTCTGAATACCTGGCTCCAAGAAGACACTCTGTCCTCAGGATTACGTAAAATCTATGCAAGGCTTTCTCGTGTCTTTTTGGCTTGTTATTTTGCATTTTAAGTGAGGATAAGTGGTGCATGCTGTCACTGCATCTTACTGGGCTGTGCCTTAGCTTAGGCAGAGTGTTTCTGTTGTTCTTTGTCGCATACTTGAAATTGCAAATTGCTGTCCTCAATAAATGCTTTCTTCAGAGAACGGACTATTCTTTCTCAAGCATTCACGAATTCAGTGCCACTACATAATGCGAAGTCTGGTAACACCCCTACCAGGAGGCAAGCTGTCTTGCAGGGGTGGCCACACATGCATGTCTTACCCTAGGCAAAGGGCAGAGACTCAGAGAAATAGAGACAGAAGAGACCAGTAATAAGGTTACAAGGCCTTACCATTCACAATGCTGATCCTACTGACTTTAAAGGGAGCGAAGGAGCTGTGCGCCATGCCAGCTCAGGCCCACAGCTCCCAGGCAGCAATCGTTCCTAACGGGGAAGCCAGAATCATTTTAAAGGGACTGTAGCCATTGGAAAAAAATGTCAAGTGGAAATTTGAAATCTGCCTGAGGTTTTGTTACAGACTAAATTTAAACTTTTCCATTCTGCTTAGCTCCTCAAGGCTTTCCCTTCACTTGTTCATCTGGATAATTACACATGGGGAATGTGTATTATAAGCTGAGCTGAAACCCCCCCTACTGAATACTGTGACATCTGATCACAGGCACAGAAGTTTTAAAGCTAACTCAGACTCCAGAGCCGGGGATGGCAGCGTCTGTCTGAAGCCTTGAATGCTGCCTGAGGTGTGCTTGGGATATTTTTCTCCTATTGAAGCAGAGATAAATGTGTTCTCTGGAAGCCAGCAGAGCTGTTATGATGGTCAAACAAGGAACCTGTCTAATAAAGCATGACACATGATAACAAGGCAGCTGGCGAGAGGGGCATGAGGCAGTGCAGTGGGATACGGAGAGGCCTGGAGACTTCTGAGGCTGCAGCATGTGTTTGTAAAGCTGGCCAGCAGCACTCCAGCCTGCACCAAACAACACCAACCTGGCACAAAACCATCCCTCTTCTCCCCGCCCGGGTGATGGATGGATGGCCACCAAGACTCTAATAATTCTGCTGGATTTTACTGGGTTGCTGACAGAAGTGCTGTGTATCAGCTTAATGTAAAAACCAGTAAGGGGATATTTTTCCCATAAGAGGCTCATAATAGGCTGAAAATGGGGCTCTGCCATGCTGACAGCCTCAGCCAGGCTGGGATGGCACTTTTTTAAAACCCACTGGAACCTAAAGTGTTCAGAGAGATTCGTTAGGAGCAAGATACTGAGGTGCTTCCTGGGTTTTTGCTTTGTGCTTTCTCAGGCAGTGAGGAGCTTTTGTCGTTCTCTCTCCTCCCAGGTATTTGGAGGCCACTGAAACCTTACAGTGCCCAGCAAAGATGCCCTCAAACATGATGGGCTGCCTGTATGTGCTAGCTCCCTCGCTAGAAGCAGGGCACCCAAATCTGCCTAGCACTGGGGCACGCGCTGCCAATGAGGCTGCCCCAGTGGTGCAGAGCCCTGAGGTAGCTCAGGGAGCCCCAGGGCATGTTTGAGGGCACCACTGCTGGGCACAGTAGGTTTGCGGCCTTGGCATGACTTACCAAAAGCACTGCCATTTCCCATTGACTGCCCATTGGCTAGGAACTGCTGCTGTCCAAAGGATTTACAGCCACAACTGGGGTTTCAAAGCCTTGCTCTGAACTGTCCGGGTCTGTGTGTCTCCAGCTCGCCTTCCACACAAATCGGAGCAATTCATAAACAGCCAGCAAGGAGGCTGTTTGGAGCCATGGGTTCATATGAATGCAGGAGCAGTTTGTCCTCTATGTAAAAGGGCAGTAGATAGGCCTGTGTGTAATTAAGATAATGATGTCTTGGCTTCAGAAATGCTATTAACCAGGCTATTTTCTGAAATTCACTGTAATTGTGCCGCAGCTAAAAAATTAACATATTATCATGCTGTTTGTTGGCAAGTTCTATCCCTCCGGATAGAAAAATGCCTTTCTGAAATTTTCTTCTCAAATCCCTGTAATAAATGATTAATCTATAGCTCCGTCCCTGCAGAGAACAGCTTTCTGCTCAGCTCCCGACTTGAAGTCTTGCCCCTCCTTTCAGTCACAACTCAGGTGGCAAAGTCACCTTAGGGAAGCCCCTGGGCAGCTCACTGGACATGTGCTTCTCTGTCCAGCAGAGAGAAGGAAAACAGGCCACCTCCCCGATGTGAACCATTTCATAGCGATGGGGCTCCAGCCTTCTGGGGCAGAAGCAGTGCAGCCCAGCTACTTATGCCATGTGTTGTAATAAAAAGGGCTTAGCACACAAACATAAAGCATGGGAAAGTGAACAAAAGCTTATAAAATGTTCCAGCCATCCAAAATGGTAATGACTGATGGGAAAGAGAGATTGAATCTGTCCGAAGAACGCAGCCCTTGGACTACCTCAGCAGGCTGGGTTGTGATCATGTCTGGGGAACTAGGAACCAATGGACCAGTATGGGCATGCTGGAAGTGAGGCCTTGTGGTGAATGAAATGGGTGTACGAAATCCCCCTTTTTGGGATCCTCAGAGAGAAAGACTGCATAGGAGGGGATTTACAACTAAGAGATACTTGGGGGTGAGGGGAGACCATCACTCTGCATCATCCAGAGACACTGTCCCTCATTCATCAACCTTAAAGATCAGCACATCATCAGGACTCCATGCCGCAGCACGGCAATGGGGATGCCCTCCCCATCCAGCAGCACAGCAGCCGCTAGGAGCCCAGCCAAAACCCCAAGACCTGCTTTGTTTCTCTTTCCCTGCAATGTTCCTTTCTGCCCCGTCACCTGCCTCCTGTTAGCTCTTTCTCCCCCCATCTCTCCCTCTCTCTCAACTTTCCACAGAGTACACTGCACAGCCGGATGGGGTGAGCTGGCCCATCTAGCTCTGCCCACCCAGAGGAGGGCTGGCAAAGGAAAGGCAGACGCTGTCCCAGACAGGAGTACTGGACCAGAGTCCAGGGTAACTGCTCTTGTGGCTGATCTGCAAGCCCCAGACAACCTTCTGCCCTGGGAATATCTACAGAAAGCAACATTGCTTTCTCCCTTGTACTGGTTGTCCTTGCCGAAGCAGAGGAAGTGACCATCGTTCAGAAGTTAAGGTTGAGCAATGCAACGTTCCTCTCCAGCAGGAAGGACTGCTTGGCACAGGAAGAGATTTTAACCAAGATCCTTGCCCCCCTGCTTTACCTGTTGAATGTTTGGGGGTTAAGTCTTGTGTTGTGTCAAGGCTGACTCTGTAGTTTTGCTAAGAGGTTGGACAATGGGTTTATACAGGATGGATTGCATAGGGATGATCCTGCTGACTCAGGCAGGTGGTGGGACTAGACCTCAAGAGGTCCCTTCCAACCCTGCTTTTCTGTAAGGCTATGATTCTGTGAACAAGTGCCTTTGAAAGGCTGATTACATAACCATCCTGTCCCTTTCCAAGTGCTCCTTCTTTGGATTCTCTCTCCTGTCTCAGAATCAAGGCATTGAATACATTTCCAGACTCTGCCGGGAGCTGCCCGCTGCGCGGGTCATTGTAATTAAGCAGGCTCTGTTTTGCATGTGATGCTCCAAGCCCTTCTTAGTTTTCTAAAACTAATGCAGGCGGGGTCGTATTAGTATTTATTCCATCAAACTGAACACAACAGGCCCATACATAGAGGCCAGCATTTTGGAGAGGCTGACCAGATAAATAGGAAGCTGCCAGGATAGTGGTGTACACGCTCTGCTGGAAGTTAGTACACAACACTAAAGACTGAATCTCCAGTTCAGCTAACTATTGAAGTACAGGTTTAAATACTTCACGAGAGCAAGATTGCAATCTCTACAGCACCCTTGTAAGGCAGGCATTGCTGTCCCCATATTACATAGGAGCCCTGAGAAGGCTGGAGCACAGCAACAGAGGACACTGCACTGGAGCATGCTGGCTTTCCTGACATATGGCTCCTCTTCCCCAAGGCTTGAGAGCACAACAGCTGCTCAGCACAGAGCTGTTTGTGCTGCTGGCAGGGCACTGAGAAGGGGCGTGCTGTAGTATAGTATCCTGAGTGCCTTTGTTCTGCAATCCATACAGAGCTAGAGGTCCATTCTCAAACTGAAGGGCCTTTGGCAGACCCCCAAAGCCATGGGAGACTCCATGCCTGCATCACAAGGGGACTGGGAGCAAGCAATCAGGTCCTCGTTCTGGGCCTGGCTTTCAGGGGACAGGGTCCTGCACCCAGTGGGGCTCCAGACAGGTAGTGGACGGACCTGAGTGCACTACTAGGACTGAGCCTGCTGGGAAAATCATTTGGATGACAACAACTCAACAGGAAATTCAGCAATGATGGGATGTAAAACACAGCCTTTACCTTGTAGATCTTCCCTTCTTCAGTGCCAACAAGGAATAAGTAATCAATCTTCTTGTGGAAATCAAACGATGTTCCACAGCCTGGTTGAGAAGGGGAGAGTGGTCAGTCAGGGAGGTGTCATACTGCCTGGTTATTGCAGATATCACTTCTGAACATCTTAGCAGATCAACTAGAGGTCCCAAGTGAGAATCAGGCCTCACTGTAATAGAAGTGCCTACTAAGATAGCACCTGCTCCAGAGCCACAATCAGCAGAGACAGGGTAGACAAAGGGCAAGAGTGGAAATAAAGGCCCAAAAGAAGGGAAGTGATTTGGAGAAGTTCACCCAGCAGGTCAGCAGCAGAAGCCAGGTCTCCAGGTCCCTTCCCAACCCCTTGTCCACACTGCCTCTCACACTGGTTACAAGACTCAACAAAGAGGAGGATTAGAACAACTGCTCTGTGGCACCAGCGACCAGCCGAAGAAGGAAAGTTAAGCTTGGGTATACAGGTGCCTGCAAGCAGCAGCCTGATATTCTAATGCACGCCACACAGTGTGGCCGCCGGTAAAAACTCAGTCTGTACAAAAGGTAATGGTGCAAACTGGACAACAGGTATAGAAAGACATCTTGAAAGCTTCCAGCTGACAAGAAAGAAGGACAGACAACCCCCTCCCTCCAAACACAACTGAATCCAAAGCGCCTGCTAAACGGACTGCAGAGGCACTGTTTCTAAAAGAAGTTCTGGCAGCACAAATGTCCAAGTTTTCTGCTGCTGCATTTCTATAGCCAGTAACTAGGACTCCTTTTCTCTCTCCGGGGTCAGATTCTAGCCAGAAAATGCAAATCCTTTTACCAAGAGCCTTTCAAACAAGGATGCTTCAGACCTCATCTTTAACTGTTCCTCACATCTTGAAGGCCATGGACAAGTGTAACACTAAGCCATTTTAAAAGCAGGCAGGGGTGAGGCAGGAGTTACCTACATCAGTTGAATCTATAGGGCTGTTTTGTCTGTCTGCACCTAAGGAAGAAGAGTGAAGCTAAACTGCTGTATCTCCCAAAGTCTTTCACTCCAGTTTAAAGTTTACAAAGTTCAGGGTCCATTTACAGTAAAACAGACAGGACAGCTGAAACATTACAATGCTCAGCTCTAAAACACTATCATTTCCAGTGTTGTAACGGCTTGTCTATCTACATGTAAGATTTTGGATTCTAGCCCAGACCCGACCTGCTCTTTCCTACGCAATATGACAATACTTCTAGGGATTCCCGGGTGGCCCTGGGAGGTCAGACACCCCTCCTTGAAAGCACTGTCCATCACAGGGGCGGGCAAAATATGGCCCATAGGAAACATCCAACCCACCCGGCCATTTCATCTGGCCCACAGGCGCCCACCAACTAATTGGTGGGCCCAGCCCCTGTGCCTCACTCCCATTCGTGCGTGGAAGGGCCCAGCCCAGCCAGCACGTGGCTTCCCAGAGGGGCTGTTGCTGCCACTGCCGCAGCTGCGGGGGCACGTGCTCAGCTTCCCTGGTATCCAGTGGCTCATCCTCATCTCCCTGCTGCAGCGCTTGCTCTGGGCAGGGGGAGCAGGAGCTACAGCTGGGCAGGAGTGTGGAGTGTGGGGCTGGGGCTGGTGTGGGGGTGGAGGCCGTGCCCAGGGGGGCAGTGGGAGTGCAGAGCTGAGGTGGGCAGGGTGTGGGGAGGGTGGGGGGTATGGAGACCCCCACCACATTCCACCCCAGGGTGCACAGCCCCCACTGCCGGCAGGAGCAGCAGGTGGCAGGTGCTTGGGGAGCTCGTGGGCCATG